CCAGGAGACCCAGGACAAAGCTTGCTGCTGTTCCAGCCTGGCACTGAGGCAGCCACTTTTTTTCTTCCACTTTCCTTCTCCCTCTGTCCCCCCATACTCCTGGTCAGTACTTGCAAGTGTCCTGCCACTGGCTGACCAAGATGGGCTATCACTGCCTGCACACTTGGGGCACTGCCCTCAGATTGGATCTTCCCACCAAATGGAAGTGCTGTCTTCTGTTCTGGTCAGGCTTTCAGAGGCCAGATGTAAGCCAGGAATTCCAGAAATGTCCATGAACCAGGAAAGAAGGAAACACAGTAGTCTGATGAAGACATAAAATACTGGAATAGAAACCATCCCTGCAGTAGCGTTGTACAGCATCAGTCTCCCATGGATGCTGGAGAACTTCCACTGGTCCAAAAGATGTGCTCTCTGGGGCACTACTCCTTCCAGGAGTTCATTACTGCTCTACAGATTTTAGCACTTGTCTGAAAGGCTCTGAAACATTTCAAAGGGAAATCAAGAGGTGTTCAGCTTTTCTGTCAGAGTGTACCGAGTGTTCCCATTAGCACTCTGCCAGTTGGTTCTCCATGGGATGCAAGTTGTGCCTAGCCCCTAGCCCAGCATCCTGCCTGCATGTCTGAGCACCACAGGTCATTCGAGGTAAGATAAGGAGAACGGGTCTGTCACCGCTGACTTACCTGCCTAGTCGCATCCTGTGTATGTGTGTCTCTTGACGTCAGAAATATAACGCGAGCTGCTGTCTTAACCCAGCTCTGTCTGCTGGTTTCTCTCTCCACAGTCTGGCATGGGGCTCTTTCACCTGCTGCATGGCGGCCTCCGTTACTACCTTGAACTCTTACACTAAGACTGTCATTGAGTTCAGACACAAGCGCAAAATCTTTGAGCAGGGCTTTCGAGAAGAGCAGAACTTCCTAGACCAGGAAGCCATCAAGTACTTCAGAGAAAGGTCAGTGCAGTCAGTCGCTCGATCAGTGGAGGGTTTCACAGACTCTGCTAGTCTCAGAAAATCCAGGCTCTCACCCACTTCAGCACAAGTGGGTGAAGTCTCTGAGATACTCGGACAAGATGTGTGTTAAAAACTAACACAAAAGTTCCTACTTGATTTGTTTTTTCTTAAGTTTTGTGATGTCCCCTTACCTGCATTTTCTTATATATTCGTTAAAACACAAGACCTTACAGTATGCATCAGATTAATAGAAAGTCATAAGACGCTATCCTGCCAATGTAAGCTGATTTTCCCTCTCCGGAAAGGTAGAATTGTGGGGATATATCAAATGTTACAGCCACACTTTCTCAGCACTCGTACTAGATACCTCTCAACAATCCTAATGCCTGCTGAGACATTTTCCAGCCACCCCAAGGCCACTTTGGAGATGCTATCTTCCATAGTCACATGCCTACAACCCATCCTAGGCTCCTCCACACAACCCATCCTCCTGAGCTCCTCCACATGAACATAGCGCATAGATCATATTGCGCTGCACTGCTCCTCTGCAGAAACACCCACACGCTGCCACCCACGCTGCTTTCAGGGGCTTAGATCGACTCTAAGTCCTGTCAGATCCCTGGGGGCCTGGAGATGCTCCTTCACTCTGCCCATCACCACACACTGCCCACCCGCAGCACTGCTGATCCCGTGCACTCTGTTAACCCACATGGCTGCGCTGGCATACTTGCCGCCCTCATTCTTCCACGAGAAGGTTAAGGCTTTGCTTAACATTGCAGAATGTGACGAACATACAAATATGGACCTCACATAGCAGGGAAGGTGTGATGGGCTCCACAGGGGTACCTTCATGGAATGAGGAGCTAAGTACAGAGAATCCTCACTGAAAGCCTATTGTTGGAAGAAATGTAAAGATATTTTGGGAACAGAAAACATAAGGAGGATTCATTCTTCTTCTTCTGACCAATGTGGCAGTTTCTCACTGGTGGACAAGAGTGGTTGGGAAGCTCTGAGGAGACAGAAGGCATGAAATGATCAGGCATTTCAGTAGTGAATTGAGGAGCTCTCCTGAGCAGGAAGAACTAGAGACCTTCCATGCTTATCGTGGTTAATGTTGGTTACCCAGGCTTAACTAACAGTTTCTGCTGTTACAGTTAGTCCTCTGTCAGCTTTCAAGTTTTCACTCTACCTTTCAGCGTGGAAGGATGAGAGAAATTATTCAAACAACGATGATTTTCCTAATTTGCATCTAAAGATGAAAGTGAATTTTTAAAAATTCTTTGCCTGACCAAAAAACCCCAACCACAGTGAAAGGGTGTGGTCAGCACGTGCCTCCGGGGAAATCAGCACCCGGTGAGGGAAAACAGTCAGCGAATCTCTGCAGTGAGAACTGCAGATGAGAGACCAGCAGAATTGTAAGCAACAGAGTATGTTGAGCTACACTGGGAAATGCTAAGGAAACTACTGCCCTTTCCAGAACAGTAAATAGCAAAAACCATTAATGGTGCAGAGGACAGTAATATTTTTTTCTCACATGGGTATTGTGCGGTTTGATTTTGATTCCTCTGGCACTCACCATACTACAAAGGACAACCCCCCCTCACATTTTTACATACATGTAAATCAATACCACAAAGCATTTTACAATCAAATCCATGTCGGACTAATTATAATCTGAGAGACCTTCACCCCAACACACTAGAGAAACAGGTGAAGGGCTCTAAAGAACTACAGCAAGCCGAACTCAGCGCCAAGGCTTTTTCAGGTCTCCTGGAAGGAAGGTTTGAACTTACCGACGCAACTGGCAGGGTATTTAACACATATCTGCCCAAGGCAAGTGACACGTCCCCCCTTGGCCAGTACCAACCAATGTGGTTTTTAACTCTTACATGTATCCTTCAGAACAAGCTCCATACTAGCCAAGGTGTATACAGAGCAGCCTGTTCCTTGTGATTGCTCTGTGTACTGGTCAGAGCCACCCTGACCAGTATACAGACACAAAGCTTTGTCTCTACCACTTGCTTTATGGCTGGACTGTATATTTTGTTCTGTCCTTCCAGCTTCCTTGCTCGTTATCAATTTGTGTGAACAATTCACTTGTTGGTCACATCCTCCAAGCCCCTCCACACACACTTGGCAAACACAGTTCAAGCATGTGGTGTTCTCAAACTTCATGATTATGACTTTCTTTTTTTATATGACATTATTTTAATTGTTGTATCCGAATACATAATAAGAAGCCTAGAGACAGTGTTACCATGGGATCATTCCAGAGATTTAAAGCTGTGCAGCATTACATCCTTTTTTTTTTAAGTTCGCATATTCATCATGAGCTTCACGACTGTGACCTGAGCATACTCTGAGACTGCCGGGGGTCCAGGGATCATCAATTAGCAACAGAGTGCTGCTGGATGCCGCGGGTGCCAGCAGTCCCAGCAAGCACACCACTTCCCCTAGCTCCAGCCTTTCTTTGCAGAAATAGAAAATAACTTAAATTCTCTTTCCTTCCTGTGCATATACCCAAGGATACTTCACATTCCCTCCTACTCCTACACCTCCATGTTCCTTTTCATATCTCATAAATAAAACCCTCCAGGCTTTTTTCCTTCCAGTTCCTCTGTACATATTACTGCCCTCTTCTTTGTGTGTTCCTCTATCTCAGTACACATCCAGCACCCACTGTACACGAACATCTACCTCTGTGTTGAATAGACTTAGTGCATTAGGCAGTTTTCTAAGAGCAATATATTTCTAGTGAAATTTAAAGCTTTATCATTATTCTCCACAGCCGCAGTTTATCTTCTGGGAGACAGGGAAGAAAAGCATTAGCCTTATTTTGTCTGATAAAAGTTTTTTGTTAGAATATATTTCTACAGGACGCTGCTCCCAGAGAATAAATTTCCATTACGAAAAATACTGACAGTAAAATACCACTAATCTCACAAGTACTTTGTCAAACATAATATCACTGTGTTTGATTTCATTTTAATCACGTGTAACTGCATATAACAATGGAAGATTTACTAGAGACCTATTAGATGAAAGAGCTCCTTGAGAGCTCCCAATTCAAAAAGCGTGCACCATGTTCACTGTGCAGTGCAGGAGACACAGAGGATGAGCCAAAGCAGTGCATGGCTTGTTGCCCTGACCCTCTCCCTTCTCATCAGCTCACCCCGTCCCCTCCCCTAGCACGTCAGCCTCGCATAGTCTGCATTACGGCTGCTTGCTAACTCCACATCCTAAGAACTGCCTCAGCTGTGAAGAACATAGGAAATACCTTTTCAATAACATTAATATATATGTACGCCCTAAATGCTGCTCCACAGCCTTTTTTCACTCTACCTTAAACAGCACATGTCGTATCCAGCCCTAAGTCCACACACAAGCACAACCAAGTTGCAAGCATCATGCTCACACAGCCAGCCACACATCCTCTGACTCCCTGCAACCACAAAGACCCAGGTCTTGTCTCCCAGCAGCTAAGCATCTCACTGTTTCTATCACTGGGAAAACATTTGAACAGTTGCTGAAAAATCAACCATTCATGGTGTTATATTCAACAATTATTTCCTTCCCAGGCCTGGGATACTTTGAGAATTCCAGACAAAACAGACTCCATAATTCACACTATAAAATCAAAACATATTCTAGCTCTTCAGAAATAAAAGCTATGATAGCCCTCAGAGTAACGCTAAGCAGAACAAGTAAATGATACAGGCTTGGAGGTATTATTCATGTATTAATGTATTTCATGTTCTATGAAATTATCAGTAGAATTATCTGCAACATGTCAGCTTTCAGTCCTTGTCCTATTATTGGTTGTCCTCCCTTTTTCTCTGGTTTTCCTTTTAACTGAATATTTGTCTATAACTTTTGCTCATCTTTTTCAACTTTTTTAGTTTATTAAATGTCAGCTCGTAATAGGTATCTTTCTTCTTTCCCTGTCTCTTTCTCTTTCTGCTCTGTTTTGTACGAATGTTCTTGCCCCACATTACCTTGAGCATGGTCTGTTTTCTACAGTTCACCCCAGCTAGCAGAGGAGGAACCCTCCACATGCCTTTCTGCTTCCTTTGCTCTGAGGATCCTTCCAGACAAGGGACAGGGATTCTTTGTTCTCTCATATGCAGTCTGATAAGCTATATGTGACAGTCAGCTGAAGGAATGTCAACGTGCCAGGACCTTCTCCTCTTCCACCGCCCAGCTATTGGGCTTCTGTAATGCCCTGTGGCATGCAGAGAGTGGGTCCATGACCACTGTCCCTTTGGTACTGCCTGGTGCCACAGAAATGCAGCGGCTCCACAGTGGGGTCATGCCATGACATCCCACATGTTCCTCCCTACCCTGCACAAGTGTACCCATAAGGCCATGAGAAAATAATGCCCGCAAGCAGAGGACTGGGGTAACACTTTCAGAGCAGCACTAACTTCAGCGCACCCACTGTTAAATCTGCAGCTTTCCTAATGAAACATCTAATAAATGTGCAACTATTTAGTTTGGGGGTGCTAAAAAGGCGGTGAGAGGAAGGCAAAATGGAAATCGGTAGATGTAGCAGTTTTAGCAGCTTTGCCCGTATGGCTGTGTAATAATTAGGACACATTCACAAGAATTGCACTTATTTAGACCAACTGGCTACACTGACACTATCGTCACATCCATTCAAGCAAGGGACAGTGCAGCCAGGTTGTTCACATTGAATGCCTTTCCCAAGGTTGTCCCCAGTTTCTCACCTTCCTTTTTTTACATGTTAAAAAAATACCCTTACAGCCACTTCCCACCACCTGTCCCTGTTCCCAGAGCTCTGGTGGACTGTGCTTTCAGGTAAAGAAAGAAAACTTTCCTCTCTGCTTCTTTGGTATGCTGGGGGGAAGGCAGAAGTTGTTAGTGGGGCAGATGGAGACCCTGGAGCAATAGTCACAGCTGCTGGAACAAGGACACTTGTAGCTATGGGGAGGAAGACCTGGGGCAAGGGAGCATGGAAGCTTGGGGTGAGAGCACGTGAAGATTGAATCCTGGGTTCAGGGATAGATGGCCTGAAAGGCTAGATATCACAACCAGGTGAGCTCTTCATGGAAAGCTAGTCACTGCCTCGAGCAAGGAATCAAAAGTTAGTGAAGTGATAGGAGAAAACTTGAATTACCCATTGCCCTCTTTTACTGTTGCCAAGAGGAGAAAGAGTAGCAGCTTTTGGAAGTGCATCCATGCCTGACCAGGTTGCGTGAGGCTAGAGGTGTTGAGTCCCGCTGGAACTGAAGCCACTGCAGGCAGGGGTAAGGGGGTCAGCCCAACCTGGCACCAGTGGGAGAGGGGACCCTCGAGACCAGCATAGCCCTGTCTCCAGTCTGACATCCAGCCTTTTGTTCCCTGTGAAGCAAATCTCACTTATTAGGTGCTATTAAACCAACATGCAAATTTAGCAAGTAAATCTGGAGGAGTCAGCCTTCCGCAGCTTGCTCATCCATAGCACAGCGCTTGCCAACTTGCAGCTGTCCATCAGCAGCCATTGTGGCACTGCAGCTGAGTTCACAACAGGGTTTTTTGCTGACTGAGCCCTTACTCCGATCTGCAAAACCAGCCCAACATCAGGCAGATGCTACTGGTGAAATTCTAGAGTGAACTGAGTTCAAACTGCCATTGATACCAGTGCAGAAAAAATGCCTCTGCAGGGATAGACAATGTAGTTTTGAAGCACTAGGAGCTGTTTGAAATAGACAGCAGGACCAAAGCTATTGCAGACATAATAAATCAGGACTATTTCCCACACTATGAGAATCAGAACTTTTCAAATCACCATTCGCATACGCTATTTTTTTCTTTTTTGTACATTTCTCTGATGTATCTTACTGACAGCTTGCTTTCTCTAACTCCATTGTTCTCATATAAACGTTGTACAGATCATGTCAATGCTTTCCAAAGACATGCCAACATTTTGCTCTAATTTCCTCCTTGATCACCAAGATATCTGAACAGGTTTTCAGCTACTGACCTGCCGTACCTCCCATTTACAGAGTCAGTGTCTTTGCATATGGACGTCAATAAGAATTTCCAGTCTGACTATCCAGCTGTCACGAGCGCACAGGGATGAGTGTAAAGTTCTGCCTTGGATTTATTCTGCACTTTATTCTGCAACACAGGGAGGTTTTTTCACAGAGCTGTTCCTACTGGAAAATTACACGGATTGGCACTTACATGGTGTAGCACTAGCAACATGCCCACTTCCAACACACATGTAGTGTACAATTCTGTTAGTCCCTGATGCTTAAATTAATCCTGAAGAGTGGAAGAGTGGGAGAGACGCAGCCCTGAGCCCCTCATTTCTATTTCCCATGGCTTCTTTACATGAGCTTACCCCTGAGAGGGGCAAAGCCAGTGGAATCAAGCCCTTCCTGAGACCATTACAATCTCCGTAATGGGCCTGGCTGGCTATAGATGGAGGAGCCCAGGTATGTTGTACTCTTATTGATTTTGAGCCTTCCATTTCTGTGCATTTGGGAGCAGCCTTTGTTTCTGTTAAAGGTGCTACTTCTATATTCTCTTTTCCAGGACTGAGGAGGAGAGGGCTGAGGCTGGGGACCTGAGGTTACAGTGCCTCCATAGCTGCTCCCCAAATAGTAAGTGACCATGGCTCAAACGTGTCCGATATACACAATGGCTTGTACCGTCCCCATGCTGGCTCCTTGGGGTTAAGAATAAGGTTTGGAGTAGGAAGCTATGGAAATAGAGGTTTGTAACTTCTCAGACAGCGCTGCCCAAATGATAATCAACTAGCATATGAACAATACAAAATCCCCCAGGATTCAATTTAGGGTGTGCACATAGCCTATAATATTATGTTATCTCAAGAAGCTGTGACTTCACAGTAGTTTAAAAATAAGCTCTAATTTACACCTGTATAACTTTCATTATCACTGCCTTTTTTTCCATCTATATTTCTCACTTATTCACAATGATGCATGCTATTGAATATAAAAATGATTGAAAGCATCTTTGGTAGACAATAACATTTGTATAATTAATGCCAGCTCTTGCACTTACTCAGAAAATTGCTATACTTTTATTCAGCGTTTGCAAAAATACTTACTTTAAGCTGTGGAATCAGTGGTTCAATGTACAGAGCAATACTGGAGCACAACTCCTGCCCTGCTCTGAATACTATACTTTTCCTTTACTCTCCAGGAAAGATGTGTGCAGTTTCATGCATCTAGTTCCTTGCAAAGACAGCAAGTGATGCTTCATTCAG